TTGTTGAGCTACGAACCTAGGTGTAACCAAGAACCTCCGGACGAGTTCCGTACCAGAACCGGTTCACACCTTCTCACTAGTGTCAATCCTTACCCGTATTTAGTAAAATTAATGTGTCGAAATGTTGGATTTATCTAATTTATTGAATTAAATCAATATTAGACAAATAGTAATTAAAATTACTATTTGAAGAAAATCCGATTTAATTGATATTTCAACAATATCAATTAAGTCTCAAATGTATTTACTATAGTCTTGTAAGGTATATAAGCGCTGCATTTTTCCTTCAATAAGGGGGAACTCAGCTCACAAAAGAGTTCAATAAAAATAATCTCAGATTTGAGAATAAACTCTCCCCATAGTAACCCTGATACCACATTCATTAATCCACAATTACCTCCTCCTGAATATGAACAAACTAACCTTGACCTTGATAAACCCAGATCAAATCCTCCACGCTCTCTTTCTGCCTTCTACTATCAGGGTCATTGTTGGTTTAGTAGTAGGTTGTGAATATTAGTTGGTAAGATCATCATCCTGACCTACTCTCAGACCCTGAACTCCTATTTAGCTCTCAACATTTAGTAGTGACTGTGAGATCCGATATGACCCTATCCAAGGCCCAACTAGAAAAATTTAAGATAGAAATTGGTATAGAAATTCCTAATAGTGTTAAGGAGCTAAAGGAATAACAAAAATATTGGTCTATTGCCAATATTTTAAAGAGCAGAAATAGACAATAAAATAGAGTTCAAGCTGCTACAGTCAGAATGTTGAAATACAACAAACTAAGCAGAAGACAGAGGCAAAAATTAAACTACTATAGAATAACTAGGCAATACAGTGAAATATTATATATATATAACTATCTAACTATCAGGAATTACTATACCTTGGGGAGATTAGATTTCCACAGTATACTCTATGTAATCCTGTTCCATGATTACAATTCAATAGCTAATGTACTTAGTAATTTGTTGGTACTGTAAGAACAAATTATTAAAAAGGCTCAACAAGAAGTTGTCTAACAGAAGCTTCTAAATAAATTCAAAATTAACTCTAAAATAGAAGAAAAAATCCAAAAATCTTATTACAGAAAATAGAAGGCACTAAAATCATAATAGATTAAGATTCTTAGACTGTAAAATTGTTTATTAGTTAACTTTCTTGATTTAATAGGAATCGAACTCAGATAACAAGATTTTGGATAGAAATAAGGAAGAAAATATCTACATTAGCTGCTAGATAAGCCTTGAGAGAAGCACTAGAGCAATATTAAACTGTAGCCTATCTAAATTCGATGTTTTATGAAGAAGACGAAAACAAAAGATAAACTAATTACTTATCTGCAGGAGTCTATAATGAAGATTCTCAAGATTTCTAGGCTGCAAGAAAGAACTAAAGAATTTGGAAAGAAATACTTACTTGGATAACCTCAATGAGTCTTAAAAATTTTATGCATAGAATATATAAATTAATGAGATGAGAATTGTAAAGAGCTGATTTGACTCTTTGGAAATACTATGCTCTGATATGATATAATATCCTATTTTTAGCTTATAGAATTCTTGTTAAGCCTGTTTATATTACAAAAATATATAATTAGAAGCTTCACAGTAGACTAGTATCAATCTTTACTTATATTTAGTAAAATTAATATATCGAAATGTTGGATTTATCTAATTTAAAAATTAAATTAATATTAGATAAATAGTAATTAAAATTACTATTTGAAAAAAATCTAATTTAATTGATATTTCAACAATATTAATTAAGTCCCAAATGTATTTACTATAGTCTTATAAGATATATAAGCACTACATTTTTTCTTCAATAAGAAGAAACTCAGCTTACAAAAGAGTTTAATAAAAATAATCTTAGATTTGAGAATAAACTCTCTCTATAGTAACCTGATACCATATTCATTAATTTATAATTACCCTCTCTAAATATGAACAAACTATTCTTAACCTTGATAAACCTGAACCAAATTCTCCATACTCTCTTTTTGCTTTCTACTATTAGGATCATTATTGGTTTAATAGTAGGTTGTAAATATTAGTTGATAAAATCATTGTCCTGACCTACTCTCGAACTCTGAACTCCTATTTAGCCCTCAACACTGTTGAAAAGGTGTGAACTGATTCTGGTCAGAACTCAAATGAAGGTTAGATTACACTAGAGTTCAGGTTTAATCAACATATAATACTATAAATCCAATAATCAACTCTAAGTTGGAAGGCTAAAAGAGGGCATGGAGGATTTGGTCTGAGTTTTAAGAATTTTGTAGATTATTCTGGTTTCTAGAGGTAAGTGTTTCTTTGATTTCTTGAATCTTGGTTTAAATTGCTTCTGTTTCTTCTACTCAGTTTTTATAATTTCTTGTTAGTACTCTAGAAGATATTATTCATTTTTTAGACTACTCTTATAACTATTACAAAAACTAGAAATACTTAGTTACAATATAAAAAATTTTATAAAAGCCTTTCTTTTTCTTTATATCAATAAACAAGTATCTCTGAAGCTGATTACTAAAGATACTCTAGTATTTTTCAAGACTAATAACAATAAGTGTAAATATGCTTCTCTTATCTACTATAATATAATTACAGTAATCTACAAAAAACTTTAGATAATCTCAAGAATAACACAGCATAAACTAGCATTTCTCTCTCTTTCTCCTTTGTAATCATCAATACTAACTAAAACAAAACCTATTATTCAATTATTTTTATAAAAAAAAATAATTAAATATATTGCTTATAGACAATCTTTTCTCAATTGTTTAATTAAAGACTAGAGGTTTACAGACTATTCTAACAAAAAATAGGTCAAAAGTAAAATAGCTTTTATCCTATCTTCTATAAATGTAGTTATTTTTATTATATTTTAAATATTTATATATATTCAAAATTAAAATCCTAGATATTTGTTTAATTCATTAACATTATATAGAACATATAGTAATTCGCTTATATTTATTAAACTATAAGAAAAATATCATATATGGTTTTATTTAATTAATCAATTAAAAACTTCTTGATATATCTACTGTATTAGAAAAGCAAGTAAACTATGTCTAGCTTTAGCTATACTTGTAGCCTAAACCTATTTTTTTTATTTTTTTCAGGTTTCAATATTTAAGTTTCAGAATATATTAGGAGAGCAAGTTTAGAATCATATGCCATATAGGCTGTCGATCAGACTCTAAAAATTGGGTCAAATTTGTAAATCATTTGGCCTAGGCAATGAATTTTAGAAACTCATTGCCTGGGCCAGATGATCTGCAAATTTGACCAATTTTTATGGTCTGATCGACAAAAATCATCAAAGTGAAGAGGCAATATACATAAACTATAAAAACTAAACTCACTAATAACTACACTAAATAACTAAACAACTAAGCTAAACCCTAAAACTGGAAAGCATGAAAGAGGCGGGTATAACTTGGTCTGAGTTTAGGGTTATTTGGAATTCAATATTAGGGGGTATTTCACTTATAACATTGTTATACTTTGAACATCGTTAGTTATCTTTAAGGGAAATTTTTTGACACTTATATACATATGTTCTATTATAAATGGATAACAGGAATAATGAAAAAGATACAAATAACGGAACTTAAGAAAATACTAGAAATAAGGTAAGGATTTTTATTTTCGATTTGTTTTTAAGGATTTGGATAATTTTCTAAATTGGTAAATTAAAGAATTTTTAGGATCTTAAGGATTTTCGGGATTGTTTAACCTTATAGCCGCAACATTTTTGAAGGGTAATTTCCCCTTCACAACGTACAGTACGTATAGTTCTAGCTTCAACAATTAAGAGATTAGTTTTATATATAGGTCCTACGAGTTTTATAAATTATTTGAAAGTTAACAATAACATTAATAATAAAGACAAAAGGAAGTGCAAAGCATTTAATAAATGAAATATTCGTAAAAATAATAATACCTTATCTGTAAACATTTAATCATCAATAATTTTCTCCTTAATAATTATATTAAATCAAGCAGTTTTAATATAATACTGAAGGTTATTTATCAATCGTGTATTTCTTTGGCAACACTCATGTCTTAATGGCCACTTTAAGTGGTCTATTGACATTATTGATGCATCTGATCGTAAAATTTAAATTTAAATAAGGACTTTTTGTAGACGTCAAATCTTAATAGTAAAAAATTAAACTTATGAACTACAATACTAGACTTGCGCAAATAAGAGTATATTTATTAAAGTCCTCTTAGCAAATATCTTTAAAAGTAATAAAGTTTTTCTTTTGCTTCCATATAATGTAAAACAAAATATTGATTATAAAAATTCTAAAAATAAAGGCTTCACATATGATAAAAATTATACGTAACTACATACAGTTGTAATTTCTGGAAATGATAGCTATTTTAAAAGAGAAAAGAAATTCTGTGTTTCATATTAGAAATTTGGTTAATGTACCGTTACATTATCTTAAGAATTTTAATTTCTAACTAGTAATATGTCATACAGAAACGAAAGAATATTCCTGATACTCTTTATTTATAATTTTTATTGAGCTATGAAAAAGTGAAAAAGAAGTTCTATTGATTAATGTAACGTTACATTATTTTAAGAATTTAATTTCTAATAAATAATATTATCAAACAGAAACAAAAGAATATTCCGGATATTCTTTATATACAATCTTTATTTTTAAATAAAGGTTCCAGTGGTACATACATTCTTATAGAATATTCCAGATGACCATTCTACATACGAAGATTAATAACTCGCATTTCCAGCTGGTAATCTATAAATAATATAAGAATTCATTCCTCATTATAGTAATAACATATCTTCGTGATCCTTATTAATTGCTCATAATTTATCTCATTAGCAAAATTAAGTAAAATTAAGTAACATCATGGATAATAATTCATTAAGTTCGACTTTACGCATAAAAGATAAATTGCATAGGACCAGAAATCCGTTAGTTAGAAAGTGTAATAGATGTAAGAGAACAAAATTGCATAAGTATGAGAAAGCACAACAATGTAACTTTTGTGATAATATTACATTTAGTGGGAATGAAGTTATAGATAATTGGCTCGTTAAAACAAATAATCAAAAAGTTTTTGTAGAATTTATTCCGTATAAACAATTTAGTGATATTACTTATATTGCTAAGGGTGGATTTAGTGAAATATATAAAGCATCATGTCTTAATCTAAAAAGAAAGTGGAATGCCTGTAAGAGAAATTTTACAATTAATGATAAAAGTATAGTTGTTCTTAAACACCTTAACGATTCTGAAAATATAAATCATGATTTTTTAAATGAGGTTTGCATTGTTAAAATATTATAATATAATTATTTAATATTAAAGTTTATTAACTTATTTCAATTGTTTAGTTAAAAAATTATTTTCAATGTTCAAATAATAATAATAAATTTATACTCGAATATCGTGGCATCACACAGCATCCCGAAACCAAAAATTATATGATTGTAATAGACTTTGCGCCAAATGGTGACTTACATAATTATATTTCAAAAAACTTTTTTACTTTAACTTGGAATAATAAACTATTCATATTATCCTATATTGATCACGGACTCGATCAAATTCATAGTAAACAAATTATTCATCGAGATCTTCATAGTGGTAATATACTTGTTGATGATTTTCAGGATATAAAAATAGGAGATTTTGGAATAAGCAAACCAGCAAATACTTCAAAAGATGGAGAAGAGATATATGGAGTAATTCCATATATTGCACCTGAGATATTTAAAGGAGAAAAATATACAGCAGCATCAGATATTTACAGTTTTGGAATGATTATGTGGGAAATGACGACTGGTCAAAAGCCTTTTTCTGATCGTAATCATGATGAACTTCTTATTCTGGATATTCTTAATGGTCTTCGCCCTGAAATTATTTGTGACTTACCAGAAGCTTATATCGTTTTAATGAAAAAATGCTGGGATGCTAATCCATTAAATAGACTTTCTGCTAAAGATATTGGAAAGTCTATTCTTGATATTCATAATAAGGAAATTAGAAAAGAAATATATTTCCCAGACATTAAAACACAGGCATTTATCAGACAAATAAATTCACAGGCAATATATACCAGCAGACCACTAAGTTCATTGATTAACACAGCTCTACGAATGAAATTAAACAATTCCTGTAAGGACATTAAAATTACTGTAGTTTATTCTTAGTTTAAGTCTATATAAACTAACTCAAATATATAAATAGATCCAATTTTATCAATAAATAACGTAAAGACTGGTATCTATCATTTATTTGGTTTAAAATATCTATATCATCTTAATAAAATCTTTTTTTTTTAACAAGTTTCATTTAATTATATAGATAACAAAAGGTATAATGGTATATTGTTATCTAAATTAATATAAACACGACACGTTTTAATAATATATTTATTAAAGTTTCACACAACTTTCGAAAATGGACTTACGCTTTCTATGTAACAAGCAAACATTAAAATACAATCAAATCAGCAACTATACAACTTTTCAATTAGGAAAACATAAATTTTATGAAAATATCGAAGGTATGTAAATATTGTTTATAATAATAATAATAATAATAATTGCATACCAATAATAAAATGTTTCTGTAGCTACTAATAATAAAAAGCCAAAATATAGTAAAAAAACTTGCAATCGAGGTATATTTTCTTATATTTCTATAATTATTTTAAAGTTTTTTTGAATTTACTAAAAGTCAGTTTTTTTTATAAAATTTAAATTTTAGATTATAAAACTTTAGAATTTAAGCTTGATATTAATAGACATAATTGATAAATTCAAATTACTGTATTTTTTATTTGATATTATTTAACAATTACAGTATATATTTGTTTTCAATCCATTATAAATATTTTAAACCAATAAAAAAGCTTTTTTTATATTTTTGTGCATTTATAATTAAATTACCTTTTAATTATTGATAGCACATGCCATATTAAATTTGATGCTTATTAATCTGAAAACTTTCTCAAAATGTGTTCGCCTTATAAACGTTAGATTGAAATTAATAAAAAGCTGAACAATGATTTTATGCAGTGAATTCACATGAAAAAATATCCTTCATGTTCATAAATGACCTATTTTATAATCTTTATAATGTATATTAAGTATGAATAAATAATGATGATTGTATTATTAAAAATCTCGAGCAGTAATTGGATGATTCGATGGCTAAATTTTTAATCAGAAAAAGAAATTACAAGTATATTTTCTTTAAAAACTAAATGTAATCCTAAAATAGTCGAAAAAATTTATTATATTTATGTTTAAATTGAACATAATTCCATTAAACTCATCAATTAAAAATTTTTACATTTCAGATTTATGATATAAAGAACAAGCTTAATCTAATAATACTTCACGTCTTTTGAAATCTTCAACTACTAATCTCAAAACTTGCCTAGCAAAAGGTACATTATATGGTATTTCACTATAAGAGGCGTAATTATCAAGTTTTTCGGGTGTAATTAAATTTAAACTATCATAATTTGCATTAATAATTGCTAAAAATTCAAAAATAAAAAGATTATCAAAAAATTTTATATAAAAGACAATATTATTAAGATTATTAACAAATATTTACCCAAGACCTGTAATGTTTTCATATATAAATTCAATATAAGCGAACTAAAATTATAGTAATGAATGTGACAAATTTATAGTAAATACAAATAATACCTGTTCAGGAAGTAATGTTTGTACTCGATTAGTCACTTTCCAAGCCTCTATTTTTAAATGAAAATGTTGACAAATAGTATTTATATTCACAAAAGCATGATCAGATGACGAGAATTTTTGAGATGAAGATTTAACAGGGTTTGGTATATTGACTAAAATTTTGAATGATAATTAATAAAGAAACTGCGTGCATTAATATTAAATATATTAGGCTTACTTATTTTGCTTAAACCTTCAAAGACTTCATATGACCTTACTATCTCATAAACTAAATTATCATAAGTTCCTGAATCTGGAAAAAATGAATCTCCAAATGCAATGCATAGATTTATAATGTTTATTACTGAAAACAATATTTCATTGATAGTTGAACGGTTTTGTTAGTAATTATCGTAGTTGGTAAGAATGAATTTGAGTAAGCCTATCAAAGAATGCCATAGTTCTGACCAATGATATGTTTTCCTCATCTCTACTTTTAAAAGGATAGTTAACAAAAAGGCTTCGGCTTGTTTCTTGTAAAAACTTTAAATATTCCTTGCTAAACTTCTTTGCTTTTTTAATACAACCTTTACTTCTACATCATTCAATCTTTTTGTATGCATGTCTCTATATACTGCATAACCCCCTCTTTTAAAGGGTCATCAGTTTTCTCTACCTTATTCTCACAAGTTTCACACTTTTCTAATTCATTTTCTGTCATAATCTTTCTTCTCTATCCTTCGCAATCCCAACGGCTAAGTATATATATAAATATCATGGTTACCAAAGATTGTAATATAAATTAACTTGAATGATTTACTTGTGAATTATTAGTGCTTACATAATTCAACTTTGGATTTTTTGTGATAGTACATAATTCGTTGGATAATTCCCAAAACAAAGCTAAAATAAAAGTAAAAATAATTTAAAATAATATGAAAATACTAACGAGAAAAATAGAGTATCAAGCAAACCTATATAAATCTTCTGCAACTTTTTTCTCATATTATGATTTAAAAAGCCTATAGTAATGTCTAATATTGCACAAACTATAGGGCGTGGATTTTTTACACTTGGTAACAAAGGTTGTCGCTGTTAATAGACAATTCCGAACATACATATTAAGACAATAATATTGCTATTATTTTGACAGATATATTAAAAAATTGAGCTTTACCTGTCAGCAAAGCATCACTTGATAGTTTTTACGTTTATCAGAAATACAACTATCAAATGTTACATCCTCAGTCAAAATTATTAGCAAAAGAAAGGATAGTTTAGCATAGCTTGCAGTACGTGTTAAACGATTATGTTGTACAAGATAAGATGCAAATGAAAGAAAATCAAGAAAATTAAGACCATCTATAAATTCAAATTAGCGATTAATATATATAAATAAGTATATAAGACTAGAATATCTTTATTAATAACAAACCATTATCAGAATTTATATTATATTCTGCTAGCGCTTTTGATATATATGCAATAAATTCTTTGTTGTTATTCACAAAATCATAATAAACTAAAAGGATTGCTATATTGACGGATGGTCTGAAATATAAAAATAAAAGAGGATATTTATTATTATTAAAAATAATAAACATTAAAAAATACATATGGCTTACAATTGACTAAAAGCTTGTTCAATATCAGAAATATCAGGTTGTTCTTTTGTAGAACCACTCGTTCCCCATGGAATTATAGCACCAACATATGATAGGGCTGATGCAACAGAATATTATAAGTTTCGTTATCATCTTGAATTGTAATATATTGACTTAAAGAGTACCATGATTATAATTAATAAAATATTATTTGTTACTCAATAGATCATATTGCTTAATAAATCAAAATTACTTGCGACATTTCTTGCATGTTGATAATATAACATCCAGTATTATCTAGAATTATTTGCGTAAAATATAATAAATTATTATAAAATTAAATAGTAAATCATGATCAATATTAATAAAATAAATTCACGTACTTGAAAAACCGACTCATCATTTATTTCTGCAATCTATATTATATATGGATTTTTGGATTCATGTTTATTATAATTTGTCAATATTCCCAATAACATGATAGCTTCGTAAGCCATATAAGAAGTATCAGGTGCTGATATTAGTTAAATCAATAGTTATTTTGATATTTATTAAATTATATGTGTAAAAAATTAATTGTATAAAGTAACATTTTTGTGATTAAATTAATAAATTGAATTTACTTTGATAAGAGGATCAAAGATACCATTCTTCATGAAGAACTCGTTTATACTATTTTGGTTAATATTACTATTTCCACATACGACCATAATGGCAAGACGTAATACTTCGTATCTAATTTCTATAAATTCATAGTATTAAATAAATATGAGAATTAAACCTTTTTTATTTTATATATTATAAACGCAGATATAAAATACCTGGTTGATCATCTTCCATTAAATGTTTGATCGCATCAACCAATTGCTATCAAAATAATTTTGATAATTCAAGTAAATTGATTAAGAATTTTCTGTTATATATAATTCGTAACTTTTTCTTACGGTAAAAATAGTATCAGCATTATTCAATCCGGTCAATAAATTAACGACATCAGAGCTAAAATTGTTAAATTTTTTTGGCAAAAATTCCATTAAGATGTATACATAACGTCTAAAAAAAAAAAAAAAAAAATGAAAATAAATAAAAAAATTTAAACAATGAATTTCATTAAATTAAAATTTATAAAATATTTTACTTCAACTGCATTAATTTTGCGTCTAGTTAATTCATCATTCATCATTTCAATAGATTTTAAAAAGATTTTATTAATATTGCCCTAATTAATTAAAATTTTTAGAATTATTTTTTTTTTTTAATCATATAATTAATTAACTTAGTATTGTAATTAATCAACAGAATACAATACATGCTTTGATTGCTAATAATTTATCTTGAGTGATTTCGGAAATGCACTTTGTTAAATATGTACTATTAACTTTAAGCAGAAATAACTCGCTCCAAAAATGTGGATTTCCAATTGATGGATCATTTCCCTATTACCCCATTTATTAGTTTATTTATTTAAAAATAAAATTAGAAAGTGATTTCAAATTTAAAACCTTAAAGAAATTTTCATAAATCTCCACAAATTTTTCTTTCAAAACATTTGCACTGTGTGTTGGTCTTACTGAAGATTCGGTTTTTGTTAGAGACTGCATTTCTTTATTTATAATATTTCAGTAAGAAAACTGATTGATCAAAAAATTTTGAACAAGTGTAAAATTTAAATTTCAGGAACGATCTGCAATAGGCAATATCGGAATATTACACAAAATTTGACATGTCAAATGACACGTGAGCTGACGTAGTCAGCGTTAGTGTTATTATCGCGAGGATTGTCCTGATCAAAGACACACATGACAAAATAAAGAATTGTATGAATTTAGTAAGTAAGGGATGATTGAAATGGGAGTTTAAGGAGATGAATGAAATGAGAGTTTAAGGAAATTAGAGTGGTATGGTTGAAATGAGAATTTAAGAAGGCAGAAATAAGTGATGGTCAGAAGTTCTTGTTTCTTTCGCTGTCCGATTATCATTATCTGGCTTTATCGTTTTTAGTCCCTGCCCTCCCCCCAAATAAACTTAACATAAATAGCTCTCACGCAAATATTAATAATAATAAGTTAATAATGATAGGTCACTGCGCAAAAGCGTGAGCACCTGACCACTGCGTTGAATCTTGCATTTGCCCTATTCTCATAATTTATTACCAGTTATCATTAATACATATTTTATTTTAGAGGTCGCTATACCTAAGCGTGAGCACCTCATCACTGCGGTGAATCTTGCATTTGCCCGGTTCTCATAATTTATTATCAGTTATCATTAGTACATATTTAGGTCGCTACACCTAAGCGTGGGCACTATATTATTGCGGTAAATCTTTGCATCTACGCATTTAAATTTATGAAATACACATATTGATGTTTTCCCTTATTTATATTTATTACACTACGATATATACATATTTCCGATACTCCTATACTTTCGTCACGTGACTTGTGTGACTTGCAGCGAGCGAACTACTGTCCCTGGGGTGTTAGATACCAAATGATCTACTATCATAGTGCGACACATATAATCAGATCTAATTGTTAGGATTTTTTACTGGAAAATCAGGCATATTCGGATACATTCTTGGTTAAAAAAATTTTTTTTTTTTTTTGAACGCATTTATTTTTAAAAACGCATTTATTTTATTTTTTTTAAAAAAATGTATTTATTTTTTTTTTTACCAAATTTTTTAAAATAGCTTGAGCAGCCGCTTCACCAAGCTCTTCTTCAGTATTTTCT